AATGGCTGTAGTTTTTATTGTTTGTGGAGTACTCTTGGACCTCTCCTGACCAACAGGAGGTTGAACAGAGGTACCCCATGCCTGCGACTGTACTTTTTCTTTGATAGTCTATGGCATCTGGGGTGGATCATCATCCCCCTGTAGGGTGTAATTCTAATAAAACAATTTTTAAAGATCCTTAGATTTTTTTTTCCCTTTGTGTAACTTGAATTAACTGTAGAAACCATGAGAGCAGAAAGACAGCATCTTCAACAAATGGTGCTGGGAAACCTGGCTGTCCACAGGTAGAATGAAATGAGGCCCATATATATCACCCTGCACAAAAATCAACTCCAAAGAGATCAAAAACCTTTGGGTGAAACCTGAAACACTGAAACTGCTAGAAAAAAAAATTAGGCAGTACCCTACAAGATATAGGTGCAGGAAAGGACATGAACCAGATTCCATTGACTCAGGAACTAATGCCAACAGTCAACAACTAAGCCAGGAAACTAGAAATCTAGAAATGGACCTACCATATGGCCCACCTATACCACTTCCAAGCACATACTCAAAGGACTGGATAGCCTACTACAGAAATCCTTGCTCAGCCATGTTCCTGTCACTACTTACAATAGCGAGGAAAGGCATTTTCCTTCAAGCTTCCTCCAAGGAGAGTCCTCGCAGCTTTCCCTGAGCACTGCATTCTTCACTCTGCTTCCTCCAGGGTCTCAATTTGGATACCATCCTTTTTATAAAACTGAATATATTCAAACTTAAAACATTTGGATATGTGAACATTGCAGTCAAATATCCATAAAGCACCAGATGGAGTATAAAAGATGATTGAAGGGCAACAGAGCAGGGGAAAGGTTTTATTAGACATTTAGATTTGGTTTTGATTTAAACTTAAATTTAATTAGCATGTAATTAGATGGTTTCCATGAGAGAGAAAACAATGGAGGATCATCTCTGCAAAGATCAATCAGTATTGAGTTCATTTGCATTAGGAGAATTTCATAATTTTAAACCTCTACCTAGCCTCAGTATATTTTCTTCTACTTAGATTCATGTGCTGGGATTCAGTCTTTCATGAGCTGCCAATATCAAGATAATCCCATGAGATTATGGTGGAGCTAAAATGTTCTAATGCCTAAGTGCACAGCCATTTTAACATCTTAGTACAGTGCTATTCAACACATTTCTGGTGATGCTGGTATAGATAAGCCAGTCATGGAACCATAACACATACAACTATACATACACAATACTTGATAATAAGTGACTTACTGTTTTCTGTATTCTCATTGTTTTAGAATATAATCCCACTATATAAAAATATTACTTATATATAAGAACAACAGCATGCCTTGTTACATCAGCACCACCCATCTCATTTGCACCAAAGGCAACACCGAGTGAGTGGCTCTACCACCTATAACATAAGAGCCCTGCTTTTGCCTAAGGATGCATTTCTCAGAGTACATCCCTGACATCAACTAATGGGATGGCGGTTGCTTTGACTTGTTCTCTACCTCAGCATTTTTTTAAGAAAATAGTATTTGGGGGACCTTAGACTGCTTACAGATTTCAATTATCCTGTATCTTCTACCATGCTTTTTCACAAGTTTGGTGGGGTTTTGTTTAACTTTGTTTTGTTTTTGAGATGATTTCTGTCTGGCCTCAAACTCAAAATCTTGCTTCAGCCTCCCCAGTACTAGGATCACGGGCATGTACCCCATACTGAGTTCTCAAGTCCTTTAAGGTTTTTACATTTGTGATGTGCATATTTATGTATATACACACGCCATGGTGTGTGTAGAGGTCAGGACAACTTGCGGGGAGTCAGTTCTTTCCTTCCACTGTGTGGGTCCCGGGGATGTAACTCAGGTTATGAGGTTTGGCGGGCAAGTTCCTTTACTGACTGAGCCATCTCGTTGCCCCTTTTTCTTTTCTGAAGATACTTTGTTCTTAAACAATCAAGGGGCCTGTTTCCATGCGTTCTCACAAAATCTTGTTTCTCTCTCTCTCTCTCTCTCTCTCTCTCTCTCTCTCTCTCTCTCTCTGTCTCTCTCTTTTTGATTTGCTGTGTATCCCATGCTGACTTCAAACTTGGAATCCTCTTGCAAAAGCCTTTCACCAAATGCTGGTGTGACAGCTATGCATCACCACACTCAAGTGTCAGGATCTTTGGCAGGTAAGATGTTTTTTATAAAAGTTAGTAAATTTCTGCTACAAGAGTACAAGAGTTGTATTTTCACTGTGGTTATAATCAGTCAATGCCTTTCTATTTTTTTTCTAGGCAGGGTCAGAGTCTCCTGTTCCAGCTGGATTCTTTGAATTCTGTGTAGCAGAGGGTGACCTGAACTTCTGATCCTCCTGCCTCCACTTCCTAACATGCTGGGATTACAGGCATTAGCCACTACAACTAGTTTATGTGGTGCAGAGGATGCAATCTCAGCTTCTTACAGGCTGGGCAAGCTCCTTACATACTGAACTACCTCCTTAGTCCCTACTTAGCACTTTTGTTGTGCTGATAGTTACCTAGTCTGTCACAGGTTCTGTATATATAGTTTATAAGGAATCTACATATACTTAAGATGAAAGATATGAAAAATAAGTTATTAATGTATACATTTGACTTACATTGTGCCGGTGTTTACACAACTTCCTTCTTAAAGCAGATTCACTGAAAAGCAAAATAAAGATAAGGCATATTACCTAGAGAAATAATATTTATCTTGTTCCTAATGCTTTTATGTTTGTGGCAAAACAATTTAAATGTTTAAGCTTTTGCAGTAGCTGAAGGAGACACTACACATATATTTAAGGAGTAAGGAAAATATGGAGGAGAAAGTCTGGAAACTACTATAATTGTAAGTTAGTTGGCATTTTGTTTTTTGTTTTTTTTTTGGTTTTTGTTGTTGTTTTCTAATAAATATGACAAGCTTTTCCAATTTAAATTGGCAAGGAAATAGAATCACATACCTATAAGACTGCACAATTTAGGCAGCAGTTGACAACGACAGCAAACAGCCTAAGCATTTTCTCTCGTGGATAAGGTATACATAGGTTCCATTACTTTGAAAACAATTTGGTCAAATTAATGCATTTGAAAATGTACATTTTAAAAATAATTTATTGAGAATTTCATATAGAGATATAAACATATAAGGTGTTTTGATCAAATCCATGCCCACTCGCTCCCCTCCAACTCCTCCCATATCTCCCCATCACCTTTTTCTGATAAAGTCAAGTACTCTTTCTCTTTTTTTTTAATGGGGCTTTGTGCTACTCTAACATTCCCCGCTCTGAAGAGGTAACCCGAAAACCTTTTAAGGATTAGATAAGAGCTCCCAAATACTTTAGACATTTTTGGCCTTTGGAACAGAGTATGTTGCTAAGAGGCCCAAGGACTTTTTGACTTTCAACCAAGAAACTGGCTACCCTTCTTTGGGGTCTTTTTACCCTAACTGCCTACCCAATTCCTACCTCCTATTCTTATCACACCATCCTCTGAAGAGTTTGCCCAGCTTGCGGATAGGGAATTGGGATGCAGACCGCCCTGGCTTCTTCCATACTCAACAGGAACAACATTTTGTTTTTAAATATTTTATTGTTCTTTACATAGAGATTTAAGAGAGTCATGTCTGTTAGCTTTTCTCACAGGAAAAGAACTCTGCTGAATTGTGATAGTACTTGTTTTATTATTTATTTATGTATTATTTTGTCTTTTTGAGACAGGATCTCCCAGTAGCCCCAGCTGGCCTGAATCTCAGTATGTAGACCAGGCTGGCCTCAAACTCACAGAGATCTGCTTGCCTCTGCCTCCCAAGTGCTAGGACTAAAGGTGTGCACCACCATGCTTGGCCAACTTGTTTTATTTTTAAAAGTAAAATCATAAAGTGATGTTTAAATGCTTTGAATTCTTATGGTTATATGTAGAAATTAAAGTCTTTAATTCTGAATGGATTTGCTTATATGACCAAAAATATAATATTATAGTTTCTTTTCTTACTGTAGGTTATTTTGAGGAAAGGGATCTGATTATGTGAACTGAGTTTTTCTTTTTAGAAAATGAGTGCAATACTTTTGATGCTATTCTTTGGTTATAGATATAAAGGATGTGTTCAAATTCTGCAAAACTTGTTCAATCCTGTATGTAATAAATATAAAGATCATCCAGGAGTAATTTGCTAATTTATGCTGACTTAAGTGAATGGTTAGAAACCTTTACAGAAATAATCCAAGGGAGTTTCAGGCTACCGTTCCTTTATCAGTCAGTCCAGCTTATTTTTCAACCATTTCCTTTCATCAGTGGGTGTGAGATCTAGTAATACAAATGTTGATGGTTTTACAAGGTAAAACTGCTGGAGGGAAAATTCTGTAGCAAAAGGACATTTTAGTAAACATGAAATACTTCTTGCTTAGGACCACACTGAAAAGATTTTAAAATGGCTAGAGTCTATTTCCTGACAGTAAGAACTTCATAGACAGCTTTTTTTTTTATTCCAAAGAGAGGCAATTTTAACACATTTTTCCAGAAATAACTTGAAGCAGGTTACATAATATATATATGTACAACGAAGTTTAGGGGGGAAAATAGGAACAAGAAATCAAGGACCAAAGGATTTGCCAACATGGGGTCAACTTTGGTGGAATAATGGTTAGCTCTGTTCTTTTATTTTGGAAAATCTTAATGAGTTTATTGGGCCTAGGGTGGGAGTCTATTTACAGAACAGTGGAACATCCCACCACCCCACCCCCATTTATAGCTGCACTGGAAAGTCCACACTCAAATATAGATTCTGTGACTCCCAAAAGCAGCACATGGACACATGGCAAGAGAGGTGCCTCATGGCGTTCTCAGCTTATATATCCTTAGCCCCTCTTCCATATGCAGCTAAGGTCGACCTATTGGGTGGGAGAGGTAACTGACTCCCCCATGGACTCCTTGACTCCTGGGAAGGAGGTGTGACTATAGCTTGCTGGTCGGAGGACACTTCCAGGTAATATCCACCCTTCCTCTGGCTCTTAAGTTCTTCCTGCCAGCCTCTTCTGCAAAAGTCCCTGAACCTTGGAGGGGTGGTAGTCACTCTCACTGTTCTGTGCCCGCTAACAGTGTCAGCACTAATGCTCTGAACTGTCCAAATTCGGACAGCTGTCTAAACACCTGTTCTTTACCTGTTCTTCTCCCTGAGTGTCCCCTCTTCTCCTTCAACCCCAACAATCAGAGATATTTTTTAAATGTTTTAGGTGTCTTATAACAGTGCATAAATTAGTGAATTTGATAAGGTTAAGAAGCTATTTTGTTAGGGAAGGAGAAGGAAGATCACGTGTTGGAGGCCAGCCTAACTGCATAGCCAATTGAAAAGCACCTTGGACTATCTAGTAAGGCCCTGTCTCAAATAAACAAATAGAAAAACATAAGGAATTCTTTCTTTCATTTACTTTTGATCCAAATAAAAAAATGGCTACATGAGTAAAATGAAAACTTCCCCTAAGAGAAGCATTGTTAAAAACAACTAAATAGCTGAGAGCAAGTAGTCTGCCTTTTAATAAGGATGACCTTACATTTTGGCAACATAAGGAAAAAACAGACGTTACAGTTGTTGAATTTAGGTTGAAATGTGATTAAGTTGCTTTATTTTATTGTTGTCGACAAAGCAAACCTAAAAATCGAGACTAAAAAAGAATTCTTATGCATTATTAAAAGGGTAGTAATAAAATATGTATTGGCAGTGGTGGAGAATCCCACAAGCACTCAAAATTGACATAACCTTTAACAAAGTGGAAAATGTGTATTAGAACTGCCAATTCTCATTTCAGATTTATGTCAAAGCATTCTATGGTGCCATGGTTAGTACAGCTAATTTTTTTAACTTTAAAATATTTTTGCACTAAGTGGTTTAAGATGAGACATTTAAGAATTATTTGAGGCAAGAATTTGTACAAGTTTAAGTATCTTTGGTGTTCCTAAGGTGTGGTCTCTTCCAAATGCTTTCAAATTCTTTAGTCTTACAGCATGTTTTCCAAGTTCTACTGAAATTTATAAACTTAAAAATAATATGCTTTTGTTACAGGGTTCTAAAGACAGTAAAACACCTTAGAATCTGGGTGACCCTTTTTTCCTAGGCAACTTTCTGAGCATTTATCTGCCTAACCCTCATGGTATTCTTTTGAATTAATGTGGAAATCAGTCATTATCCTCCTCAAAGGTGAGGGAACTGACACACTGAAAAGTTCTGATAGGAGGTCAGAGTGGTCAAGGCTGAACATCTAAGTGTTCCAAGTTCTGTTATTCCTGTCACCTTGAATACAATACTGCACTTAAAAATGTATGATGTTGAACCTCTACTGAGCAGAGCTACATAATAGTAAAATCGGAAAAACACAAGATGAGATTTAAATGGTAAAAGAAGAAAGTACAGAAGATTGAAAGATAATTGTTACCACATGTGAGAGCCGCCTTACTGTGTCATGTGCTTCTGGGCAGCACTGATTAGAAAAATGGACACAGGAATATTTCAAAGACCCATGAATTAGTAACGTGTCATTAGGATAGCACTTAACGTTACACCCCGTAAAAGTCATACATATTGTATGTTGACATACACTGAAAAGAGTGACAAGATTCTCACTGTGTTTTAGAAAACTGTTCATTTTTTTTGCTAATATTTATCAGAATATTAGACCTGTAAAACAAAACGGACACATTGAGCACTGAAAACTGTCATGTCCACTATCGAAAAGTCAAGCTCTTTTTCTGTCTCCTGTTGATGGTTTCTAAAAGAGCATTGGATTTTCAGATGGTGCCAATCCTGTGATGAGGCACTTGAAGAGTCTGAAGGTTAGGGCATGTAAAGTACGGGGCTGGAAGGAAGCAAGCTGCTATTCCGTTGGAAGCAAAAGGAAGTGTAGGCCCATAAAACACCTCTTCTTTGCCTTCTCTGCTTACATCCAATACCTACCAAAAAGAGAAGAGGATTACTCAGAGCTGCTTGTACATGAAGCACCTTAACTCTGTTTCATTCATGACCTTGACCTTAGGCATTGCTACTTTTCTGACTATGTTAGTGCCAGAAATGTTTATTAAGTACCTGATAAGTGCAAGGCTATGCATGTATGCATACACATATCTATAATTTAATCTTCAGGACAGTGATGAGTTACATAGTATTATCTTCACCTAATAAAACTTCCCTACACTGGTTAAATAACTTGCAACTTACAAACTAGTTTGTAGGTAGTGTCATAATACTGACTTACAAATATTTATAAAACGAAAACAGAATCTTGCAGCTTATTATTGGTGATATCTAGCTAAGCATCTGGCACATAGGGCCATATTCTAACACAGCTTAGCAGTTCAGAGTTAGTTCAGTTGTGTGACCTCAAGTTCCTAGAAAGAAGCTACACCTTACATTGAAACTTCTATAGGCTTATTGACCAATCAGAGCTTCAGTGATTGTGAAGGGATTGGAATGTTGCAGGTTCAGAGTCTAATTAAAAATCATCTTTAGCTATCTTAGGCCCCTTAAATGGCCATTTATTGTCCACCTCTGTATGTGACCTAACATCCTTATAGTTATGCGGTAAATCCTTAGAACGTATACCAACCCAAAGGCTAAGGATTTTGTGATGTAGCATCTGACACCTATAGCAGATTTTCTCACTTTGCTGTAACTGCCTACTTATTTTCATCAATGTAATTCAAAAAGTGGCTTATAACTTTATTCTGTTCCTATACCATATTGGAACATAGAAATTGCAGTAACCTAAATCTGTGTTCCCAGGCCACACATATTTGACTCTAGAATAAACTCTTTTATCTCCTTTGAGATAAGAACAGTATTTTTTCATTGACAGCTGGTTCTAGAAATCTGTCTCCAGTTATTTCCATTTCAAGGGTAAGTCTGTCTCACATGGCACAGCTTCTTTGGTGGTCTGTGCTGCTGTCACCTCGCTAGATCTGCCTTAAACTCTTTCTCAGGGAAACTACTCTTATCCTATGTGTCAAAATTATCAGGCTCTTTTCAGGCCCAATCTTAATCTATTTATTTGATTTTCCTCTGACTTCATTTAAAAATCTTTCTTTTTCTTACAACTCCTTTTTTAAATTGATGTGTGTGTGTGTGTGTATTTCATACAGAACATCCCAAACAATCTTATTCATTCTTATACCTGCATCCCAAATGGCACCCTCCCATAGCTCCCCTACCACTTCCACCAACTGGAGCCCATGTACTCTGTCATCCCTGTTACTGTCCACTGTGTTATCAGTGCCCCCAGCTGTTCCCGAGTGCTAGTCCACCTGCTGAGTCTAGTCAAAATAAAATCTTTCTTTCTTTTTGGGGTGAAGAGATGACTGTTCTTGTTTGCAGAGGACCCACATGGTGGCTAACAACCATCTGTAACTCTAGTTCCAGGGGATCTGATGCCTTCTTCTGGCCTTTGCGGGTATTGCACAACACAGTTGCACTTAAATACATTCAGGTAATAGACTCATAAACATTAGAGTTTTTAAAATCTTCTTCCTTTAGATTTCATGATTTTAAAATAAGGTTTTCACTGCTCAATGTAAGACTTCAAATCTTGGTCTCTAATACTGTAGTGCCCACCTGTAGCTAAGGGAGACAACCAGCTATTGTTCTAAAATGATGGATAGATTTGTTTTCTCCCCCATCTAGAACCTTTTGAGAGGGAACTGACACTGATTCTAACCACTTCAACAGCTACCAAAATACCTGAAAGCAAATCCTGAGTCCATCACTCTTGAGTCCAGCATTGGCAGACAAAAGAAAAATGAGGAGAACCCAACAGAGGGATGCTTTTGGAAGCCCTTCTCAAGAAATTCCAATGGATTCTCATATGAACATTTGAAAATTGCCCTGTTCTGACTTTTTTCTAGTTCCCTATCTAAAACTTGTAATGCTAATTACTCTTGCCTTTACTTCTCCTTCACATTTCCTATTCATGATTCAAGGACTTTCTTTTCCCCTTAGAGATAAGAATTATGCAATTTGAGGGTCTTTTAGTTAGACCCACTGAAAGGGTACTCCAATTGCCTCACCCTGCATCTCTGTTCAGCATGGAAGAAGCCAGAGCGGTCTGCGTCCCTATTCCCTATTGGCAATTTGGGTAACCCCTTCAGAGGATGGCGTGACAAGACTAGGAGGTAGGAATTGGCTAGGCAGTTAGGGTAAAAAGACCCCAAAGAAAAGTAGCCAGTTTCTTGGCTAAAACTCAGAATGTCCTTGGGCCTCTTAGCAACATACTCTGTTCCAAAGGCCAAAAATGTCTAAAGTATTTGGGAGCTTGTAGCTAATCCTTAAAAGATTTTAGGGTTCCCTCTTCAGAGAGAGGAATGTTAGGGTAGGTAAAAGCCCCATAAAAAAATAAATAAATAAAAGAAGAAAGAGTACATGAAGTTATCAGAAAAAAGTGATGGGGAGATATGGAGGGGAGGGAGTGGGCATGGATTTGACCAAAGCACCTTATATGCATGAATGAAATTCTCAATAAATTATTTATTTAATAAATAAAATAAGGTTTTCCCATTGTTATTGTGTGGTGGCGCACGCATTTAATCCCAGCACTCGGGAGGCAGAGGCAGGCGGAACTGGATGTCTTGTGAATTCAAGGCCAGCCTCGTCTACATAGTGAGTTCCAGAACAGCTGGGACTACAGGGAGACCCTGTCTCAAAAAGACCAAAATAAATAATAAGTAAATAAATAAAAAATAAATAAATAAAATAAGGTTTTCCGATTGTCCTTGCCACGTTGTCATCTATGTTGGGTCCCATTGCTTCAGCTAGATGGAGGTGTGTCCGCCAATATTCCAACCACAGAACGCATGTCCTTTAAAAATTTTGTTCACTCTTGTGCCTACATCTGTCACTTTTATAGCTAATGCTTAAGACTTTAATGAAATGTTTTAGATGAAAGGAACCCTTGAAATTTGTGACCTAAACTCATAGAAGGGATCTTAGTGGGTCAGGAGAGTAAGGTGGAGAGCAGCCACTTGTGCAAAGCCTTAGGAAACTTCATGTAAGAAGTTGTAGCTGGGAAAGAAGGCTGGACCACCCCCCACCCCCATAGACTTAGAATACTAAAATGCACACCCCTGGGTAGAGATTTAAAATGCTAAATAGACAGATGTGAATGGAGCTGTGTGTAGCACTAAGTGTAGAAATACCCTGCTATGTGATTGAGACAAAAAGTTGGTGCTGTGTGACCTGAAAGCTTCCATCCGATGTGCAGCAGATGTGACTGAACTTTGTCTGCCCTGGTGCACTTTCTCCCTAGGATGTGTGTCTTTTCCTAATCAACTCACCCTGCTTCTGCTTAATTGTGTGTCTCTGTTCTGTTCTTTGTTCCAGGCCAGAAGAATCTGGAGCCCTTCCAGAGGTACCCAGTAAACCCTGATATCACTAGAAAAAAAGATGAAATTTTAAGCTGTTCTAACCCAGTTACTGAACCTGTTGCTACTAATTTAAAATGTCTCTTACACACTAAATACAAATTGTTCTCCTTTATTATTCTGTGTGTCTTGTGGGATCACACTTAGTTGTTTTGAATGGGTAAGACAAGTCTCCCCATTAAAAAAAATCCTTTTTAATTCTTGTATATTTAGTGTCCCTGAAAAACTTAAGATCAGTATGACAAGTGTCACTTGTACCTCATAAAAAAAAAGGAAATTGCCAGGCATGGTGATGCACATCTTTAGTCCCAGCAGGGGCAAGCAGATTTTTGTGAGCCTGGCTTATAATGAGTTCCAGACCGAATGGGGCTACAGGGAGACCCTGTCTCAAAAAGAAATAAAGGAAGGAAGGAAAGGAGGGAGGGAGGGAAGAAGGGAGGGAGGGAGGGAGGAAGGAAGGAAGGAAGGAAGGAAGGAAGGAAGGAAGGAAGGAAGGGGGAAATCCCAGTGAGATTTTGAATAGTATTTTATTAAATATAAAGCAAAAAGATAATGTAAGGTTAGTGAGCAGGAAAGAGGCAGGATTTATTTGGGAAAAGGTCAATGGGCTCTAGTCCAAGAACTTGTTCTAGTACTCCCAGCTCCTCTAAACCCTCTAAATATTCACCTATGAATACCTACCTTACCTAGTCAGCCAAGCCCCTCACCATCCCTGTTCCCACTACTGATCTGAGAGATGCTTCTGCCTGTTCCACCCATTGACCACCTCCTGCCATCCTGATGGGCTACTATATTTCTCCAACTGGCTACTCAACAGGCATATTTCCATAATCCCCAGTTCACCTCTATGATATGTCTCAATAATAATTGTTTCTCCAAATCTGCCTAATGCCCTTTATAGGGCCCATTCTCCACTCAAATTCTACTCAATTCTACTTCACAGACTCCTCTGCATATCCCATTTCTAGGACTCATCCTAAGTTACTTGTGGGCAATTTCTCTGCTTCTCTTTGTAGCTAAACCTGCCAACCCCCAAAACCTAGACCTGTATACACTATACACATCCTTTTACATAGACAATAAAAAAACCAGACACTAAATGGTTAAAAAAAAAATCCCTCTACTTTCTAGGATCCTTCCTAACTTTCTCAGAGCTATCTCACTATCCTGGTCTAGCAGATGATACTGCTATATGTCCCCAGCCCCTCCCTGAAAGCTGTCCTTCCTCTCCTAGCTATTACCTTATGCTTGTGTGAACCACACAACTTAGCTTACACTGTTATCCTATCTGTGGACTCTATGTACTTCAAGGTTAAACTTCAGAGATGCAGTCACTACCTGCCCCTCACTGGGGTAGCCCTGACTGAGGAATAGTCTGGGAAAATAAGGTCACTGTCCAAGAAAACTGGGGTGTTGTGCTTTGGATGAGAAACGCCCCTCATAGGCTCATGTTTTGATAAGAGGTACAGCTTTGCTAGAGGAAATTCATCACTGGAATGAGCTTTGAGGATTTATAGCCTTTTACACCTCCTGTTCTCTCTCCT